GGCCAGGTAGAGGAGGCCACCAGGGTGAAAAGCCGCAGGTACCCAGCAAGGGGCAAAACTGGGAAAACGAGGACCTCACCCCCAGGGTGACCTTTCCTCCCCTAGCATATCGCTGGTCATACAGTTTGGACTAGCAGTCGCCAATCAGTAGTTCGAGGGCCACTGGGGGTCCATGAGGTCCGAAAAGTTGGGGACCGCTGGTCTGGACCATCCCATGACCTTTTCTCCCCTGAGAGGAGGAACAAGAGTTCAAAGAGTGGCCTCATGGGACTCCCATTTGGTCCCTTGCACAAACCACTCCCTTAAGCATTAACCCTGAGGGATAACATCTAGGCCTCAGCTGTGTTTCAGCTCCAGGCCCAGAAAAGTAGCAAAACCAGACAAGCAATGCCATGGCTGACCTCAGGTCCAGGTGCATTGACTAAAAACCCACTGACCTTGTGCTGACCAAGCAGTCAAGACCACAACTCTGAAAGGAAACACCTAGAAAGCTGATGAATATTCTGTTGGGATTCTCCCCTGAAACTTCCAGATACAAACCCTCAAGACTTGCCGAAACCGGTTTGGCTCAATGGATAGAGCGTCGGCTTGCGGACTGAAGGGTCCCAGGTTCGATTCCGGTCAAGGGCATGTACCTGGGTTGCAGGCACATCCCCAGTGGGGAGGCAGCTGATCGATGTTTCTCTCTCATTGATGTTTCTAGCTCTCTATCTCTCTCCCTTCCTCTCTGTAAAAAAATCAATAAAATATATATATATATATATATATATATATATATATATATATATATATATATGAAAAGACTAGAGGACCCAGTGGGACAATCACTCTTGAGAGCATGAGCTTGCCTTTCTCCTTTTCCTCTTCTTCCCACCCCCAGGTGTGTTACCTTTACCCTCCTCTCTCCTAAGCTCCAAGGGCCCTTCTTTTGCCTCTGTAACTTGTTTCCTGTGCCCATTTCTGCTCCCACTCACTTCTTCTAACTCTGTGACTTTCTAAATAAATTTTCTCTTATAGTTTGAGTTTTGGATCTGAATTCTTTCTTAGCCAGAACTCAAGTACCGAGGCTGCTGAACCAAGATCCAGTCTGACTCCACCGGTCTAACACCTGGTACTGTTTAGCCACCAACAACTCCATTTGAATCATGCCTGAATTTAACCTTTCAACCCACCTCTACCTACCTTCCTTACCACTCTCTTTCTCCATTACAAGATTCCACCCAGTGTAAATAACTAGGCAGAAATTTTCTTTCTTTTAGGCTGAGTGACATTAAAAATGAAGGCTACAATAGCAAAGACTATTGTGTCTGGCTAAGGCAATGACAGCCACCAAGCCTTTGAACACCCTTATCATTGTTGCTCCTTATAACAGCCCTGCTAGAGAGCAGAATAACACTAAATCCATTCCAAAGTAAGAAAACTGAAACTCTACATGTCAAATTATTCACTGAATTCACAGAAGTAACTGGCAATGGTCTGGACTCTTGACTCCTTTGTCTCTCCTTTGTCTCTCCCTTCCCTTCCCTTCCCTTCCCTTCCCTTCCCTCCCCCTCCCTTCCCTCCCCTCCCCTTCCCCTCCCTCCCCTCCCCTCCCCTCCCCTCCCCTCCCCTCCCCTCCCCTCCCCTCCCCTCCCCTCCCCTCCCCTCCCCTCCCCTCCCCTCCCCTCCCCTCCCCTCCCTCTCTCTCTCTCTCTCTCTTTCCCCCGCCCCCCACGTCAAAAATTCTCAAAGGAGCTATTGCTATCCTTCTTCTCCCTGACCAACCCAGCCCACAGTGTTCTACAATCCACTCTGTCATAGAAACTCCTTATCCAGGCCCACAGTCTGAGGTGCTAAATTCAATGGCCAGTTCTCTGTCCTCTTCGCTGTTTTCTCAGCAGCATTTGAACCAGGTGTTGACTGACTGAAACATTCCTCTCTTGGCTTCCTAGTAGACACTCTCCTGTTTGTATCTCTGCCTCACTGGCTATCTCTTCTTTCTCCTTTGCTAGTTTCTCCTCCCACTAGTACATGTTGAACTTGCCTAAGGTTCAGTTTTCAGAGCTCTGTCTACTCTCACTCAGAAGTGAGCTCATCCAGCCACATATATTTATATTCCTTTCGATGCCAATAATTTCCAAATGGGAATCTCCCTCCTGACCTTTGCATAAGCTTCAGACCCATATACCAAACTCAACGATTAATCTTTCCTCATGCCACATCAAGTGTTTTATGGAAAATCCTCTTAAACAGTATGATGAGTGACTGGTTGAAATTTTTAAAAGTTGAAAATTCTCTGGGTGAAGCAGGAAATAAAAAAAAACAACACCCACATTCCTTAAATATTTTATTTTATTTAAAACACAAAGGTTCATTCATTAGTCAATCTTTTCATATGAGACTAAAGTCTTTTCTTTGAATGCGGGCCCACAAATAAATGTTCCATGTCATCTTTCCTGTATAATCTACAACACACTGAATTGTCCCATGATTTCAAGTTTCATTTTATCTAACATAGAACAAGCACATAAGGACACTAATATGCACTCTGAATGCAGAATGCCTCTAGATTTTTATGACTTTTTTCAACCTTTTACAGCTGGCTTGCTCATTTTTAATTCTATAGCATTTTCTTTATAAACCAACTCTATTTTTCAAGTTAGTTTTCAAACAAACAACTCTCTTAGTTTTTAAAAAAATAACTATTTTAAACTCAATATTCATTGGTGTATATGAGACAATGAGTTATGCAATTACAATGATAAAAATAATGAGCATAATGAGGCCCTAGATGACATATAATTCAATTGGAAGAAGTAAAGAAACATGGCACACTAAAAGACGGTCTATTAGCTTGGGTATTTAGGGTACTGCTGACATCAGGTAACATATTTTATGGTGAAAATGGAAAGCACTGGTATTCCAAGTCCATTAAGGGGATATGGGCTAAGAAAGTTCTTAATTTCCACTTCCCACTCTATCATTATGAAGCCAAACCTTCCCCAGCCCTCCTCACGCTAGTAAATGACAACACTCAACTGCTAAAGCTAAAAGCTTTAATTTCTCTTTCTTCCTTACCAATATCTAAGGCATCAATAATTCCTGTCTTTCAGGAACTCTCAAAATATACCTTAGATATATTCACCTCTTTCCATCTCCATCCCCTTTGCCCAGAGTCCAAGTTGTCATCATCTCCCAGCGGATATCTACTTTGCCATGATCTACTGGATTTTAAAGGAGCTAGCACATACCTTCCTCTCCAGCTTCATCTCACCACTCGCCCCTGCCTACCCTGCTTTAGGCACACTGACCCTCTTCCCCATTCCTCTAACATGACAAATCCCCACCAGGGCCACTGCACATGCAGTTCATTCTGCCTGGAACACTATTCCACTGACTCTGCATAAGCTCACTTCTTATTTTTCAGATGTCACCTCAAATGTTATACACCCTCAGAGAGATCTCTATCAATCATTCTAGCTGAAGAACTGTTCTTTGAGACTTACTTCCACCTCTGACATCTAAGCTACTCCATATCACACTATAATGAGTAGCCATTGAGGAGTTAAAAGAAGAGATGCAATGTTATCTCATCCACATTTACAAAGTTCTCTTGGGCTCCGGTGTGGAGAATGCATTGAAAGGGGAGACAAGAATAGAAGTAGGCAAGTTATGATTGGCTGAGAAGAAGTATAGAGGAACCAGAATTTTCTACTAGCTGGATAGGTGCATGGGTTATATGGGTGTATACATTTCTAGAAATGATTACATTGCTCATTGTATGCAAATTTTATCACACGTTTTTAAAAGAACAAAAGTCCTAAATTTTCTCACTCGGACAGCACAGGGGATGCAAAAAAAAAAACAAGAAACAGAACCACACTGTTATCTACTTTCACCAAGATCTACTTATTAAAATGTTCATTTTCCTCCTAAATTCCTACTTTTCTCTAGCAAAAAAAAATAAAAAGATTTGAACCAAATTTTTTATTAATTGTCCAATGTGGAAACACACTGGGAAAACATCTGTCACTATGAAAGATGATTTATAATGCATATATGTGTGTGTGTGTGTGTGTAAATCACATAAAACTATGACAGAAAGCATGAACCAGTATTAATAAGATGCCAAAGCACATCAAATGACTGTGATGTGAGACACCCATCACGAACTATGTGCTAATGAACCCCCCAGCCATAGACTGACCAAGAATGTTGTGGTTTTCAACTTCCAAACACCTAAGAAATGCCACACATGGACTCATGATGGTACACAAATGCATAAAATGCAAACAAAGAATGTGTAACAATGAGAAACAGAAACCTGCAATTAGAATGTATACAAAACCCTACATGAACACAACATATACATTTCTTTGTAACATACTCTACCCCCCGAATAGCCATGTTAAGAGTCACTATCTAAAGCTGCAAGGCCCAAATCAGTAGCCATCAGCCACATATAGCTATTGAACACTTAAAATGCAGTAAGGGCAAATAAGATATTGAATTTTTAATTTTATTAAATTTTAATTAATTTTAATTTTAACATATACTCAGTTATATTATGGGAACGTTTTAAGTGTGTTTGGAATAACTTGTTATGTAAACTACTTTTTCAACAGTGTATTTCAATTTGTATTTCAACTATGAAATACAAATACAGACCAAATATTTACAATGAAAATTCAGTGTCATCATTAAGATGTGCTAGAAGAGTAAAATACCCACCAGTTTGGAAGACTTAAAAAAAAAAAAAGTTTAATAGCTCACTAATAATTTTTTCATTGGTTACATTTTTAAGTGATATTTTGGATTCACTGGTTTAAATAAATTATTAAAATTCATTCCACCTGCCTATTTTTACTTTTTTAATGTAACTATTGGAAAATTTAAAAGGATGTATGTGGCATGCATAATATTTTTACTGGATCATACTACTTTAAAGCTTATATATCTAAATGCAAATTAAATATATCATTATGATACATTAATAATTAATATTTCAAATACCTCCTGACCTTTTCATTTGATTGTCTTCTTTTCTTTAGTTGAATGAAATCTGTTTCCACCCTTTCTGCCAGCTCTAGTTTCCTCTTGTTTCTTTTAAATGCAGCTAAACTGAATCCTATAAAAGAAACATTAAAAATGACATTTGATAAATATTAGGGCAATGAGGCAGATGCCATATCCTGTAGAGCCTTCTCAGGACAAATCCTTAAGAATGTTGGATAAAAGGTTAAAAGAGGCTTTTCAATGCATGCTGAAGTGCTAGGAAAATAAGACAAATACCCTTAGGTTAAAGAAGAAAAAAGTCAAATCCAGAGACACAAGTCCTGAGGGTATATAGTAGTATATGCTACCCAGAGATATCTGCCAATGCATACCACCACCCACTTTGGTTTTGAAGGTCTCTTGGCATAAAGGACAAGAGATGAAACCTGGGGACAATGCAGCTCAAGGAAACATATTGAAGATTATCCACACAAAAAAGAAACAAACCCCAAAAGGTGCTATGCCCAGTAAAAGGGAAAATCATAAAAGGCCACCATATGCAAAGAAAAAGGAAACTTGCAAGTCTCAGCCTTAGATTTATATGCAAGGGAGGAAAAGTCTCTCTAGATAATTCATGACCAAGGGCTTTCAGATATGTTTAGAGAAGAATTCATTTTAGTGACCTAAAATTTAAAAAAAAAAAAAAAAAACTCAAAAATTATCTCAATGTGCTAGTGCCTCAACAACCCCTAAAATTCAAATGCAAATACTCCCTGGAACAAAAAACCTTAACTTACCACACTTCAGAGAATTCCTACGTTTCAATTAACATGAGCCCATAATTTAAAATAATTCACAAAACACATGAGAAATAAACCATCAAGAATAAAACTTTGCCAAATATCAGCAAGCATAATTCAATTTAAACCTACAAAGACCTCAGATACTGAAATAATCAAATGCAGACTATAAAACATGTTTATGCTCATGGAAAGAAAGGGATGATACTGAAAATATAACTAAGGAAGAAAAGATGATAAAGTGATTAGGAAGACTTAAGAAGAACCAAAAGAGCTTCCAAAAGCAAAAAAATAATAATAATTAAAAATATAAAACAATATACAGATATAAACAGCCAATTAGATTCAACTGACAAATGAGAAATTACAAAGTAGACTATAACAATGAAGATATTAGCAACATTTTCTGATAATGGCATCAAGGAGAGATGTAAATCAAGCCCAGAGCCCATTAAAAGTGGGAGTTCTCTCACTAAAAGTGGAGGAACTTCCAAGTGTGGGAAACTGGGTATTGGAAGGGCTAACACACTGCTAGGGTTGGCCAGAACTATGCAACTCTGCACTTACTCTCTATCCCAATACCAAGTACATTCAAGCAAGACTGTCTTCGATTATGGCATGACAGGAGGGGGGTGGCGAGTAGAAAGAGGAGGGAGAAAAGGGGGATGGGGAATATTGGAAAGAAATTTTGGGTTGACTGGGTCCTTTGTATAGATTTGCAAACATGTGACTTGGGCAGGTCAGGGAATAATAAACTTTTAACTAAGTTTAAGTAGATTCTGATTAATAGTGTGTGAAATAGAAAATACATGGTCTTTGTCCTGATTCCTGGCACAGAGCTCTTAAAACCTTCATAATTCCCTAGGTGATAAGAGTACTATGATCACCTTTTATCCTAACATTGGGTCTTTGACCCCAGTTCCGGAAAGCTCCTAACTCTCTTGGAATTTCCAGGAGGATATGTCTTTTGGTCTGATGAGGCAACTCTTGGTGGGCTTCTGAATAGCTTCAGGATGAGGATGGGTCACCAGAAAGACAAAGCCATGCTTAAAAGCTTGGAACTTTCATCCAGCCTTATCCCATCCTCGGGGAAGGAGATAGGCACTGGCTATTGAGTTAATGAACAATCATGCCTACACGATGAAACCTCCATAAAAATCCCTCAAGGACAAAGCCTGGAGAGCTTCCAGGTGACTGAATACATCTATGTGTAGGGAAGGTGGTACACTCCAACTCCACAAGGACAGAAGGTCCTGCACTCAGGACCCTTCCAGACCTTGCCCTATGTATCTATCTCTAATTCTGGCAGTTCATTCAGATCCTCTAATATGCTTTGTAATAAACTGGTAATCTAGTAAGTAAACTGTTTTCTAGAGTTTTCTGAGCCACTCTAGCAAATTAATCAAACCCCAAAAAGGGGGCCATGGGAACTTCTAACGTATAGCCAGTCAGTTGGAAGCACAGGTGACAACCCAGGCTTGCGATTGGCATCTAAAGGGGAAGTGCAATCTTATGGGACCGAGCCCTTAACCTGTGGGGTTTGTACTAACTCCAGTTAGTGTCAGAATTAAATTGAATTGCAGGACACCCGGATGGTACAGAGAATTGGTCAGTGTAGAAAACCCCAACAAGTTATGTCAGAAGTGATATAGGGAGTTGTGAGTGTGACAGTAGTATGCAAGTAAAAGGGGAAAAAATAGTGTTTTTTCCATTCACAGTGCACACACACTTGGCAAAAGTAAAAGCAAAAAATAACATCTGGAAAAAGACACCTTCATCCTAGGCCATGGGTGAGTCTACACAAATAATTATTTAAGGGCAATAATAACCATACAGTCAAAGATAATAACCATGGAAAAGAGGCACCATGAATAATAAGAAGAAAAAATGCCAATGTGTACCACATATAATGGAATTATCAGGCACAATATAAAACAAGTGTCCTTATAATGATTAAAAAGTAAACAAAAAACATGAATACATCTATATTTCATACTACAAAGTAAATTAAATTATAGATTCTTAAAAAAATAGAACTTCTAGAAATGAAAAAGCAGATAACCAAATTTAAAACCTCAATGTATGTGCTTGGTAGTTGACAGGATATAAAAAAAGAAATTGGTGAATTAAAAGCCTGAGGAGAAAAAACTTATCCAGAATGTGCCTAAAAAGATAAACTGATGAAAAACACAGAAGATTAAGAAACAGGGTAGATAATGTAAAAAGGTCTATTATATATTTAACTAGAGGTCCGGTGCACAAATTCATGCATGGATGGGGTTCCTCAGCCTGGCTGGTGATCGGGGCTGATGGGACTGTCTTGCCCAGTCCCAATCAGGCCAACTGGGGCCGGCCGGCCGAGGGGAGGGACCGCGGGAGGTTGGCTGGCTGCAGGAGGTTGGTTGTGGGAGCCCACTGACCACCAGAGGGCACCTCCTGCATTGAGTGTCTGCCCCTGGTGGTCAGTGAGCACCACAGCGACTGGTTGACCGAACAGTCACTTAGGCTTTTATACATATAGATCAGAATTTCAGAGGTGAAGATAAAAGAATGGAAAATGGCTACAGGGTTCCCTAGAGTAGAGTGAAGGAAAACAACAGCAAAAATGCTGACAGAGTTTTGGTAAATGCTCACCGTAGGAGAGACAAAGTTTAAAGTTTGAGACTTTCCACGGAAACCCCAGAAAGGCCTATACATATATCTTAGAAATAAATAAATAAATACCCATGGACACAGACAATAATGTGGTGAAGGCCTAGGGCATGGGTTGTGGGGGTGGGGGGGAGATGGTAGTAGGGGCCAATGGGGAAAATAAGAGGGACATATGTAATACTTTCAACAATAAAGACACATTTTTAAAATAAGGGTAAAATATATAAAAGCTTTGAAAGAAAACAAGTCTAGGATTAAAAACAAAACTAAAATAGACTCAGTTTAACAAAGCCTAAAACCAGGCTGTGACAACATCAAGGTTATCTGCAAATAATTTAATTACATGCTAGGATAAAACTCAACATCATTCAAAGGAAGATAACAAATCCATAGTCTCTAAAATGTATCATCCACAATGCCTGAGTTGCAATATAAACAATTATGAGATTTGCAACTAAACAGGAAGATGTGATCCAGAGTCAAGAGGAAGGAAAAAAAAATCTATCAATGGAAATTGACCCACAGGAGATTTGACTTTGGGTGGTGGACACAAGGTACAATGTACAGATCTTATAACATAGAAACCCACACCTGAAGCCTATATGTTCATGTTGACCAATGTCACCCCAATAAATTTTACTAAAAAAAAATAAATTGACCCAGATGACCTAGATTTTAGAATTAGTAGTCAAGGATTTTAAAAATAACAATAACAAATATGTTAACAATGAGTATAATGAGTGAAGACATGGGAAATTCAAAAGAGAGATGTAAATTATTTTTTAAGAATGGAACTTTATAACTGAAAGCTATAAATATTTTATATTTTTAAAATCATTAAGTAAGATTAATATTAGACACTGATGAAGAAAAGATTAGTGAACTTTAAGACAATTGAACAGAATTCATACAAATGAAAGTGCAATGGTTAATTTTCTTTCAACTTGAGTGGGCAGCAGGTACCCAGATATTTGGTCAAATATTATTGTAGGTATGTCTGTAAAGGTGTGTTTGATGAAGGTGAGATTAACATTTAAATTGGTAACCTGAGTAAAGCAGATTGCCCTACCTCAGTAGTCGGCAAACTCATTAGCCAACAGAGCCAAATATCAACAGTACAACAATTGAAATTTCTTTTGAGAGCCAAATTTTTTAAATTTAAACTATATAGGTAGGTACATTGTTATTAACTTAATTAGGGTACTCCTAAGGCTTAGGAAGAGCCACACTCAAGGGGCCAAAGAGCTGCATGTGGCTCGCGAGCTGCAGTTTGCCGACCACGGCCCTACCTAATGTAGGTGGACCTTATCCAATCAGCTGAAAGCATTCATAGAACTAAAAGGTAGACTCCCCCCTAAGTAAGAGAGAATTTCTTTTGCCTGACTGCCTTCATACGGGAACATGGACTTTTATTTGCCTCTGTCCTTGAGCTAAAACATCAGCTTTTCCTGGTCTCAAACCCGCCAGCCTTCATCCTAGAACTACATAACTGGTTCTCCTGATTCTCAGGCCTTTGGACTTGGATTGAAAATCCAGCTTCCTGACTGACCCTAAGGATCTTGGGACTTGTCAGCCTCCATAACCACTAATTATTGATAATATGTCTTTTAAGATGAGTAGATAAATAGATAGGCAGACAGACAAACAGATAGATATATCTTCTATTAGTTCTATTTCTATG